CGCATTACTCCAAAGCTGCTGCTGCGGCTTTAGGCAGCAGAACTCGCTTGCTGCATCGCGTCGACTGCTGCTGCTGCTGCTGCTGCTGCGCCTTTCGTCATTTCCCAAGCAACCTCCCCTGTTTTTTTCTGTTCTTTCTCCATTTCCCCCCAGCTGCTCGATCCCTCTCTCGCGCTGCTGCTGCTGCTGCTGCTGCAGCAGGGGGCCCCATGGCTGCTGCAGCGCGGGGGGCCCCCCTGAGGGCCCCCGAAGCTGCTGCACAGGGCTGGAGGGCCACAGCGCGGCCAGGGCCCTGGGGAGGCCACTTTGGGGCCTGCAGGTCCGTGGAGGACTTCGAGCTGCTTGCATGCATTGGCGAAGGCACTTACGGTATGCTGCTGCTGCTGCTGCTGCTGCAGTGCTGCTGCTGCTGCAGTGCTGCTGCTGCTGCAGTGCTGCTGCTGCTGCTGCAGTGCTGCTGCTGCTGCTGCAATGCAATCGCTGCTGCTGCTTCTGCTGCCCCTCCCAGCACCACTACCACCAGCACCGCTGCTGCTGCTGCCCTGCAACCGCCGCCGCCGCTGCTGCTGCTACTGCTGCTGCTGCTGCTGCTGCTGCTGCTAGGGCGCGTGTGGAAGGCGCGGGACACGCGGCGAGGCGCAATAGTGGCTCTGAAGCAAATGCGGCTGCTGCCGAAGCAAAGCCACCTCGAGGGCCTCCCCAGGGGGGCCCTCAGGGAGATTACGCTGCTGAAGCGGCTGCAGCACCCCAACGTCGTCGGTAAACCCTAAACCCTAAACCCTAAACCCTAAACCCTAAACCCTCGACGGCGCGGGCTGCGCGGCTTCGGCCGCCGCTGCTGCCGCTGCCGCTGCTGCTGCCGCGGCTGCCGGCTTCGTCTGGGCGCGCGGAAACCGCCCGTGTCCCCCTCTGCCGCTGCCGCTGCTGCTGCTGCTGCTGCTGCTGCTGCTGCTGCTGCTGCTGCTGCTGCTGCTGCTGCTGCTGCTGCTGCTGCTGCAGAGCTAGAAGGGACACTGGCAAAGGGGGCAGTTGTCCTTTCAGGAGACGAGGCACCACCAGTAGATCCACTAGGAGTAGAACTAGTAGCGGCAAGTGCGGCACTTCTGTCGGGGAAGCTGTTGCTGCTGCTGCTGCTGCTGCTGCTGCTGCAGCAGAGCTAGAAGGGAGACTGGCAAAGGGGGCACTTGGCCTTTCTGGAGACGCGGAACCACCTGTAGATACACTCCGAGTGGAACTTGTAGCGGCAAGTGCGGCACGTCTCTCGGGGTAGCTGCTGCTGCTGCTGCTGCTGCTGCTGCTGCTGGTGTTGCTGCTGCTGCGGTGGGCGCTGGTGGTGCTGCTGCTGGTGTTGCTGCTGCTGTGGTGGGCGCTGGTGGTGCTGCTGGTGGTGCTGCTGCGGATGGGTCTGCTGCTGCGGAGGCGGCGGCGGACGCTGGTGCTGTTGCTTCTGCTGCTGCTGCTGCTGCTGCGGTGGGCGCTGCTGCTGCTGCTGCAGATGCTGGTGCCTGTGGAAGCATGAGTTCGCGTTGTCATTTCTTATGAAGTTGTCTGCCATTTATTCATTTTTTATTGTACGTATTTATATATTTATTTTTTATTTATTTATTATTTTATTAATTTATTTATTTATTAATTTATTTATTTATTTATTTTGTCTGAAGGCCTTTTCTTCCTGGGCGGACGGAGAAGCACCAGGTGAGCAGCAGAGGCAAAAGGGTAAACAAAAATAAATAAATAAATAAACAGACAAATAAATAAATAAAATGGTAAATAAATAAATAATTAAAATTATAAAATAGATAATTACTCATTCAGCAATAGGAGGAACAGAATGGGTTCTGTTGCTTTGCTGCTGCACTCCTGAGTTTCCTGCTGCTGCTGCTACTTGTACTGCTGCTGCTGCTGACGCTGCTGCTGCTGCTGCTGCTGACGCTGCTGCTGCTGCTGCTTGTACTTCTGGTGCAGCTGCTGCTCGTACTGCTGCTGCTGCTGCTCGTACTGCTGCTGCCGCTGCTGCTGCGGTTTCATTTCATTTATATTCATTTATTTATTTATTTATTTATTTTTTATTTCTTTTAATTTTTGAAATGAAATGCAGATGAATTTAATCACCATCATGTTGGGCACTCCCAGCGCTGCGGCGTATCCGTCGCTGCAGCAAATGCCGCACTACGGCGACTTCGACTTCAGCATTCAGGTTTGTTGTTTTGTGTTAATTTTTTGATTTATTTCTTCATTTAAATTAATTAATTCCTTTTAATTAATTGTTTTATTTTAAATTCCTCAAATTTGATCCATTTGGGGCCTCGGGTGCGTCGGATTCCACAGCTTTCCTCTTCAGCAGCTCATTCGTGTTCAAGTTCAACTTCTTTTCATTCAATTCTTTTCTTCTTCTTCCTTTTTGATTCTTTTAGTTTTTTTTTATTCTTTCTTTATTTTTAAATTTATTATTTCCATTTATATGAACCATTTCTTTCATTTTTCTGCATTTATTTCCTGTCGATTTGCTGCTTCAGTTAATTCACTTTTGCTTCTTTCAACTTCTCCACCTCATTTGCCAATTCTATTTTATTTTCATTTTTTCTAAAAGTATTTCTTTTGCCTATTTCGATTTTTTATTTCACATCTAATGCACTCTTTCCACCGTAGGAGCAGCAAGCTGCTGCCCCATTGGTGCTGCTGCTGCTGCAGCTGCTACAGCAGCTAGGCTGCTGCCCCACACTGCTGCAGCAGCAGCGAGGCTGCTGCCCGGTTGCTGCTGCTGCAGCGGCTGGGCAGCTGTGGAGCTGCTGCTGCAGCAGCAGCAGCACGGGAGCAGCAGTTACTGCTGCTGTATAGAGCCAAACTGCAGTGGACTGCAGCAACAAATTGCTGAGAAGCTGCAATGGCCGCAGCAAAAGCGCAGCAGCAAAACAAACATTTTGCTGCTGCAGCAATGCATGCACGCAGCGCCCCGGCCGCCTCAAGGAAGTCTTCTCTTCGCAAACAGAAGCATGCGTCGATTTGCTGCTGCAGCTGCTGGCCTTCAACCCCGCCAAACGCATCACTGCTAGAGACGGTCTGCAGCTGCTGCTGCTGCTGCTGCTGTTGCTGTTGTTGTTACTTGTGTTTCGGCTGCCGCTGTTGTTGCTGCTGCTGCTGCGGCTTCCGGTTTTGCTGCTGTCCTTGCTTTGCTTGCTGCTGCGGCTACTTATTGGTTACTCGTGTGTTTGCTGCTGCTGCTCGCGGCCCCTCTGCTGCCACTGCTGCTGCTGCTGCTGCTTTTGTCTGGCTTTTCGCCGTGGAAGTTGACTTTGTCTTCTTTTTGTCCAATTTGTTGCTGCTGCTGCGGCTGCTGTCATTTCGTTGCCGCTGCTGCTGCTGCTGCTGACGAATTCTTTGTCTTGCTGCTGCTGCTGCTGACGAATCCTTTATCTTGCTGTTGCTGCTACTGGCGAATTCTTTGTCTCGCTTCCGCTGCTGCTGACGAATTCTCCGTCTTGCTGCTGCTGCTGCTGCTGCTGCTGCAGCTCTAGCTCATCCTTACTTCTCAGAGGCCCCCGCCCCCAGCTGCGTCCGCCTTTTATCAGCAGCAGCAGAAGCAGCACAGCCCAAGGCCAAGCGGCACTGCCGCAGCCAGGAGCATCCTGCTGCTGCTGCTGCTGCTGCTGCTGCTGCTGCGTCGGAGCCGGACTCCGCCGGTCAGCAGACTCACTTGCTGCTGCGTCTGCTGCTGTGGCTGCGCTGGCGCTGCGGCCGCTTTTGCTGCTGCTGCGCTTGTGCTGCTGCCGTTTGAGTTGCTGCTGCAGTGATGTTGCTGCCGTTTCGTGCTGCTGCTGCTGCTGTGTCTCATCTGCTGCACGGGTTTTATCTTTTTTGCTGCAGAGGCGGACGACGAATCGGCTTGGATTGCAGGGCTTTGCAAGAGGCAGCAAGCAGCAGCTCCCACACAACTGCCCAGCTAGCTAGCTAGCTAGCTAGCTGGCTAGCTAGCTGGCTAGCTAGCTGGCTATCTAGCTAGCTAGCTGGCTGGCTAGCTGGCTAGCTAGCTGGCTGCTAGTTAGCTGCTCGCTAGCGGGCTGCCTGGGTACCTAGCTAGCTGGCTGTCTGTCTAGCTAACTAGCTAGCTGGCTGGCTGTTTAGCTAGCTAGCTGATTGGCTAGCTGTCTAGCTAGCTAGCTAACGGGTTAGCTAGCTAGCTAGCTGGCTTGCTGGCTAGCTGCAGGTTCGCTGTTGCGGGCTCAGCCTCTTATTGTTTCTTTACTTTTTATTTGTCTTTATAATTTGTTTTCGAAATAACGAAAAGATTTGTGGGAAGCTGCTTGCAGCGCTGCGTAGGCAGCTAGCCAGGTGGCTAGCTAGCTGCTTGAGTGGCTAGCTAGCTGGGCCGCCAGCTGGCCAGCTAGCAGAGTAGTTAGCTAGCTACGCAGCCATCTGGATGGGTAGCTAGCCCAGTAGCTAGCTAGCTAGCTACGCAGTCAGCTAACTGGCTAGCTAGCTAGCTAGCTACGCAGCCAGCGAGCATACCAGCTAGCTAACCGGTAGCTGGGTAGCTAGCTAACTGCTAGCTAGCTAGCTAGCTAGCTAGCTAGCTAGCTGGCTAGCTGATAGTGCGTGTGTGAGATATCAAAGGCACTGAAGCATTGTAGGCCCCAGAGCTCAAACCCTAAACCCTAAACCCTAGGGTTTGAGGCTTGTCATTCTGGAAGCCCTTTTTCCCGATATTGGTTTTTAATTAAATGAGGATGAAATTTAAACTTTTAAAAAGCAAAAGACTTTTGTAAAGGGGCCCTAAAAGTCCTAAAAGTCTCTTCTAGTTTCTCCTTTGGGGCCCGCTTTCTAAACCCTTTGGGGGCCCCCCGGGGGCCCCTTGGGGCCCTCTCTGGGGGCCCTCAAGGGGGCCCCCAAAAGGCCGTTGGGGGGCCTCTTACGGCCCTTTAGGGGGCCCCCCTATAGCCATACGGCCTTCTTGGGGCCCCCTTGGGGCCCCCTTAGGGGGGCCTCCTTGGGGCCCCCTTGGAACCCCCTTTAGAGCCTCTTAGGGGCTGCTTAGGGTTTTCTAGGGGCCCCCTAGGGGCCCCTAGAGTTCCCCTTTGGGCTTCTTTAGAGCCTTTTAGGGGCCCCCTTGGGGGCCCCCAGGGGCCCATCATTTAATGCTCTTTTAGGGCCCTCCAATGACCTCCTTGGGGGCCCCTAGGGGGTCCCCCAGTACCTCTAAGGGCCCCCTTTAGGGTCTTCTCCTCGGGGTCTCCTTGGGGCCCCCTAGGGGCCCCCTCAGTTCCTCTTGGGGGCCCCCTGGGGCCCCCCTAGGGGCCCCTTCGAGGGCTTTCTATTTGTACTATTTGAAGCCATTTCGGCCCTGAGGGTCTCTGGGGGCCCCTAGGGGCCCCTAGGGGCCCCTACGGGTCAAAAGGGGCCCCTAAAGGCTCCATGGGGGGCCCCTAGAGGGCCCCCAGGAGGCCCCCAAGGGCCCCTGGGGGCCCCTGAGGGCCCCCAGGGGCCCCCTAAAGGCCTGGGAGGCCCCAAAGGGAGCTTTCAGGGGCCCTCCTAAGGGCTCCTGGGGGGCCCCTGGGGGCCCCCCTGGGGCACCCAAGTGGGGCCCCACTTGGAGGCCCTCTTAGGGGGGCCCCCTAGAGGGGCCTTTAAGAGGCTTTTACGGGTGTGGTACGGTTTTGTTTGTGCGTTTTCATCTTTTAATTCAAGTTTGGTGCCTTGGGGCAGCAGCAGCAGCAGCAGCAGCAGCTGCAGTAGCAGCAGCAGCTGCAGCAGCAGCAGATCTCGGTTGTTCATGCTTCTTCAGAGGCGCTTCGGCTTCGCCCAATTAAGAATAAATGGAGGCCCGTATTCGTGTGAGCAGCTAAACTATTAATTTATTTATTTATTTATTTATTTGTTAATTAATTTATTTATTTATTTAATGCAATCTAAATTAAGTCCGAGCCAAGCTTCGGGGAGTTACTGAGGCCAGATACTAGCGAGTGTAAGAAAGGGCAGCGGCAGGAGTAGCAGCAGCAGCAGCAGCAGCAGCAGCAGCACAAGCAGTAGCAGCAGCAGCGGCAGCAGCAGCAGCAGCCCCGGGGGCCCCAAACCCTAAACCCTAGACCCTAGACCCTTGTTATTCATTGCTAGTGTTGGTCCTGCGGCTGTTTCCGGGGCAGCAGCAGCTGCTGCAGCGGCTGCGGAGCTGCTGCTGCTGCTGCGCCGCAGCAGCAGACAAGGGGGGCCCCAGCGAGCAGCAGCTGGGGGGCCCCACAGGGGTCCCCGGGACCCCACAGGGGCCCCCCAGCCCGGTGAAGCCCCAGGTGCCCCCAAAGGGGTCTGGGGGGCCCCCGGGGACCCCGGGGGCCCTGCGAGGGGAGCGCGGAGGCCCTGTGGGGGGCCCCCCGGGCCTGGGGGGGGCCCCCCAAGACAACAGGCAGTGGCTGCTGAGCTGGGGGAATGCTAAATGGTATTTCTTGGGATTTTAATTGGGTCTTGAGGGGCTGTACATTGTTGAAAAAGGGAGGAAGGGCTTGCGGGCGTTGTCTGTTGGCGGGGGCGGCGCGGGCTGCTGCTGCGGCGGGTCTGCGGCGCTCCGGCGCAGCCCGCGCAGTTTAAAAGGCATTATTTAATTCATTTTTAATTTTAAAACAACTCCATTCATTGTTGCATGCAGGACGGGAGTGGGGCGGGGGGGGGCGCGGGTGACAAGACCCTCCTGCGGCTGGAACCAGTGCGGAGGTGCGCGGGGGATATCTTTGGAAAAGACCTTCTGGGGCCCCAATTGGAGCATGAAAATGACTTTCTGGAGGTTATTTAATGGTATTTAGGGAAGAAAGCGTTGAATTGGCGGGGAATTAAGGTGTCTGCGGGCCCCTCCGCATTGCGGATCCGGGAGCGCTAGCCACTGGTCCACTGCAGCTGGAGGCGCCGCTGAGGGAGCGCCTTCTGCGGAATTGCGTTAAAATTGCAGTTTGAATTCACTTAACAATTGTTTGAAGAATAGAAAGAGGCTTTTGGAAGCAAAAAGCGCCATTTTGTTGCGCTGCAGCGGCGAGATCTCGGCAGCAGCAACTGCTGTCTGTGCATCGCTCCCCTTAGCGCTTACCGGGCTGCAGCAGCAGCTCTGTTCGCAAAGACTTTCGCGGATTCTGTTTTTTATTTCTTTGGACTTTGTAAAAGCAGTTTATTTTTATTTTTGTTCTTCAAGAACTCCGCTGGCAATGGCAGAAGAGCGCAGCGCAGCGCCGCAGCAACCTGTTCTTGCTTCGCCGTGTCTGCAGGCGCTGCTGCACTGAGGCCTTTCTTCGCGCGTTTTGCAAATTTAGAATTCCGAAGCAGCAAAGAAGCAGCAGCAAGAAGTGGCGAGGCATGAAGTAGCTGCTGGCCCCACGCGCTGCTGCTCTGGGTGGCGCAGCAGCAGCAGCAGCAGCAGCAGCAACCGCAGGCATCCCAACTTCCCCGTTTCGCCGCCTCTTTCGCCCCCGAGGGGCCCCCTAGTTGCTTTCTTTCATTTTATTTCTTTATTTGCTTTTATTGTTCGTTTTGCTGCTGGAGAGCGCTCCGCCGCGCCCCGGCCAGCTGCAGCAGAGACGCAACGGCGATGAGCCCGTAGCAGCAGCTGCAGCAGCAAAATCGGCGAGTTCTGCGGTGTCTGTAACCCCAGCGCAGCAGCAAAGCAGCGCAGCACGCCGCAGCTGCTGCAGTTCACTTTTAGTTTTTGTAGAGTTCCGCCACAGGCTCAGCGCTGCAGCCGGCGCTCCAAATTTTATTTTGTTTTTCTTTTCTAGAAATGCTGCAGCTCGAACCCACGCAGCAGCAGCTGCACGGCCAGCTGCAGGAGCAGCAGCAGCAGCCGCAGCACGCTGGGACGCAGCAGCAGCAGCAGCACGAGCTCGCCGCACACCCCCCGGTGCCCCGCAGGCCCCCCCTCACCCGCCGCAGCAGCAAAAGTGGGCCCCTCAAGCTGCTGCTGCTGCAGGCCGTTGGCTCTGCCGTTGCGCTGCTGCTGGCAGTTCATTACTGCAGGCTGAGGGGCCCCTGGGGCCCCCGGGGGCCCCCAGGGTCACCTGGCAGCAGCAGCAGCAGCAGCTGGGTGCGGCGGCTCTCGAGTGGCAGCTACGAAGAGCCCAGCAGCTCGGGACTTTGCGAGCTGCTGGACGAGATCGATCCAGCAGCATCGCCTGCTGCAGCAGCAGCAGCAGACGAGGAGGAAGCAGCAGCAGCAGCAGCGGCGGGATGGAGGCCCCACGATTTCGGTGCGCAGCAGCAGCAGCAGCAGCAGCAGCAGAACGTACAGAACGCTGCTCAGCAGCAGCTAGACGCACCAGGCTCCTCGGGCGTCCAGACCCCGCACTCCACTACAGCAGCAGCAGCTGCTGCTGCTGCTGCTGGTCCCAGCGACAGCACGGAGCAGGAACCCTGGGTGGAAGATCCGCTGGAGGATTTAGATGCGCTAATTGATGCTGCTGTTGCTGCAGTGGGGATCGGGCCGTTTGCTGCTGCTGCTGCAGCTGCTGCTGAGTCTGAGGGTGCTTCTGGGGAGGAGTTCGGGGCAACAGCAGCAGCAGCCACAGCAGCAGCCACAGCAGCAGCAGCAGCAACGCCAAGCAGACCCATATCGGCCTATGAAGAAGCAGTGCTTTCAATTCTATTTCAACAAGCTGCAGAAGAAGCCCAAAAGGGAGAGTGGGACCCCCAGACTGCAGTGAGCAGCAGCAGCAGCAGCAGCAACGTCAGCAGCAGCAACATGGGCACCAGCAGCATCAGCAGCAGCAACATGAGCAGCACCGGTAACGTCAGCAGCAGCAACGTGGGCAGCGCCGGCAACGTCAGCAGCAGCAACGTCAGCAGCAGCAACGTCAGCAGCAGCAGCATGGGCAGCAGCGGCAACATGAGCAGCAGCAACATGGGCAGCTTCGGCAACGTCAGCAGCAGCAACATGGGCAGCAACGGCAACGTCAGCAGCAGCGGCATGGGCAGCAGCAGCAGCATGGCCAGCATTAGCAGCACGAGCAGCAGCTGCAGCGCGGCGCCGCCTGCTGCTGCGCAGGGCTGGGCTTCGGAGGGCGCGTCTGTGGACTCCCAGCTTGCTGCTGCTCCTGCTGCTTCAGAAGCAGCAGCAGCAGCAGTGCTGCAGGAAGCAGCAGGAAGAGTCGCGCTGCCAGTGCTGCAGGCAGAGTTTGTCGAAGGGTTCTTTGAAGCTGTAACAGGGCCTGGGGCTTGGGGAAGCAATGTGGGAGCAGCAGCAGGCGGAGCAGCAGCAGGCGGAGCAGCAGCAGCACCACCACCGCCACCCCCGTACGGGCAGCAGCCAGTGCAGCAGCCAGTGCAGCAGCCCGCCATGCACCCGCACCTGCAGCAGCAGCAGCAGCAGCAGCAGCCCCTGCTACACCAGCAGCCCCTGCGGCAGCAGCAGCAGCTGCTGCTGCAGCAGCAGCAGCCGATGCATCCAATGCGGGGGCAGGCGGATCTGCTTGCGCAACCACTACGACTGCCACAGGTGCGGCAGCAGCAACCACAGCAGCAGCAGCAGCACCAGATGCTGCTGCAGCAGCAAACATTGTCTCAGAGGCATCACCCCATGCCGTTTCTGCAGGTGCCGCAGCAGCAGCTGCAGCAGCGATCGCCGCAGCAGTCGCCGCAGCCCCTTCAGCGGCCATCGCCGCGGCCTCAAACACCAATGCAGCAGCAGCAGCAGCAAGACCTGCTACAAGTGCAGCAGATGCAGCAGATGCAGCAGCTTCAGCAGCAGCTGGTGCAGCTGCAGCAGCACCTGCAGCAAGGGAACCTAGGTGCTGTCACACCTCCCCAGCTGCAAACGCTGTCGGATCTCGTGGGAAGTCTGAGAGATTCTATTCAGCAGCAGCAGCAGCAGCAGCAGCAGATTCATCAGCCATTTCAGCCGCAGCAGCCGCAGCCAGGGCACCAGCAGCACCTGCTGCAGCAACAGCTGCAGCAGCAGCAGCTGCAGCAGCTGCAACAGCACCAGCTGCATCAGCAGCAGCTGCAGCAGCAGCAGTTGCAGCAGCAGCAGCTGCAGCAGCAGCAGCTGCAGCAGCAGCAGCTGCAGCAGCAGCAGCTACAGCAGCAGCAGCTGCAGCAGCTGCAGCAGCAGCAGCTGCAGCAGCAGCAGCTGCAGCAGCAGCAGCTGCAGCAGCAGCAGCTGCAACAGCTGCGGCAGCAGCAGCTGCAGCAGCAGCAGCTGCAGTTGCAGCAGCAGCAGCTGACCCCCGAACAGCAGCAGCGGCAGCTGCTGCTGCAGCAAAACGTGCAGCCACACCAGCCGTTTCAGGCGGGGATTCATGGGGCAAGGGGCACGCTGGCCCTTTTGCCGCCGCAGCAGCAGCAGCAACTGCAGCAGCTAAGGGGGATACAACAGGAACTGCATGTGCACCTGGAGCTGCAGCCGCCTCTACAGAAGCAGCAGCAGCAGTCCCAGACGCTGCAGGGGCCTCAGCCACAGCAGCAGCAACAATTGCAGCAGCAACAATTGCAGCAGCAGCAATTGCAGCAGCAGCAATTGCAGCAGCAACCACTGCCGCCACAGCAGCCCACGCAGCAGATGATCCAGCTCCAGCAACTGCAGCAGCAGCAGCAGCAGCCGCCGCCGAGGATGCCGCAGCAGCAGCAGCAGCAGGTGGTGCTGATGCCGCCGCTAGTGCAGCAGCAGCCAGCGCCGCCCCACACGTGGCTGCCACGGCCGCCGCAGCAGCGGTCGAAGCTAAAGGTAGATTTGCGGCTTCCCACGGGCCCGGATCTACGGCATCAGCTGCATGAGCAGCTGCAGCAGCAGCTGCAGCAGCGGCTGCATCCCCTTGTGCTGCAGCAGCTGGAGGACCAGGTCTTCAAGGAGCTGCAGACACACCAGAATCTGCGGGAGGAGGCTATTCGGCAGCGCCAGCAGCAGCAGCAGCAGGCGCAGCAGCAGCAGCAG